AAAAGTGGATATGTTATGTGGGTTTGTATAGATGCACGATGCTTTTTATGTGTGAAATAAAACTGTCATGAGGGGCCGAGCCATGCCCTCTTCGTGACCCTCTCACTCCTAAAAGATTTTCACATCCAAACCAGAAGTGTTTTTGTGTGAAGAAGAAATGGAGCCAGTCTCCATGACTCTCCCCGCCTTGCGATCACGCTTTTATACACACAAACACACACTCCAGATGTCAGGCTGGTTTCACACACCAATGGACACACTGTTGCAACACCTTCTCTCCCCCTCCCTCTCCCATCATGTCACACCTTCTCGTCCGCTGTGCTCCTTTTATCACCCCCCCACCCTGTTTGTTTGCCTTTCTATCACTCCTATCGCACCTCTTCACCCCGGCTGCCGCTCCATCCGTTTCTCTCTCCGTCATCCCAACCTTTTTCACCTCTTTCATCCTGCTCCGTCTCACAACATCTCACACTATTTTTGAAAGATTTCCAGAGTAAACAAAACCAATTTAATTCCATAAAAATATTGTCTGCAAGGACATGGATGTTGCTGGAATAGCATCTGTGTGATAATGTCTTTGAATCCAAGGGCCATTGAAAAAAAAAAAGCACACAGTAGGCTTTTCATGTGTGATTACGTGCACAACACAGCAGCTGCACACTGCTGCAGGATTTTGAACCTTGCACAAAATGTCTTTTAAGTGTGTATGAATGGGGCTGCCAGCTTTGCCAGCATCTTATCAAAAGGAAAGTTGACAACAACCCAACTGGAATTTGGCTCAAAGAGGTCGACACAGTGGCCAATCAGAAATCCCAAAGTCCCTCGGAAAAGTACTGGCTTATCTTCCAAAACTGCATCCAACAAGCCTGCAAGTGAACAGAATCCTCAAAGTGTCCTTTCTATCTTGGGCCAAACTCTGATACTCAGGCCCATTCAGTCTTTTGTGATATGCTGCAGCATGAGCAGTTTTCTGATTAGTTTCTATTTGGAAAAAGATGGCTCTGCTTGAGTAGTCAAATCACATATTGCAGAGTTTCCAGTGCAGTATGTCAAGCGTCTGTTTGTTAGCTAACTAACTTAAACCTCTTAAGCAAATTTTCTATAGTTGCTAGTTGCTAACTTAGTCTATAGGCCTACACTGTTTGGTGCTGGGTAGCTGTAGCCTTCCTTATACTGTATATATATTTGATATATTATTGTATCATTTATATGAGCAAGTCATGTGATACATTGTTTATATAGAAACACCAGCCAGAAAACATTACATTTACTGTCTGAATCACATTATTAATGGGATCACATCTCTGGAAAATGATGAAGAACATTTTTTGGACGTTGAAGTCACATGCCACATCGTTTATTCGCTAGATCTGTTTGTACTTGCTTTTATCGCTACACCTCTTCACGACGGGCATTCAGGTCCTTTCAGGCCACTGACACCCAACTGCCCTGTCTGCCACTGAGGTACAAATGAAGAGTTTGTCACGGACCAATGAGCAGTACACCTGAGAGCTCCCTCTCTCTACCCCTTCATCCCTTCATAACACCCCCCACACACACACACCACACACACACACACACACACACACACACACACACACACACACACACACACACACACACACACACACACACTATAGTGGGCTGGAGTCAGGCCAAGTTGTGAGTCAGAGGATCACCCCTGAGACTTGGTTCATCTTGTTTTTGTATGAGCGGGCAGCCACACAGGAGCTGTCTTCATTTTTCACCCATCAAAGGGCTCGAGACCGCACAGTGACCTCCCTCGCCCTCGGGACCTCATGATGCTGTAACACTAGTGTTTTCCAGGGTACATTTTGAAATGTCCATTCGGATGAAAATAACAACAACAACTTTTGAAAATGTTTGTTCAGTGAATAGGAAAGATATTGCCAGCAGCAAGCTAGCTAGCATAACAACTGTAAACAAAGGAAACAGGAAGTAACCAAAGAGAACCAAAAACTAGTAATGTGTTTCTTTTACGCTTTTTATGTGTTAATAATCAAGCTTTGCATGTGCTGGGTTCACACACGTTACATTTGGACATAGACTAGCTAGCTGTCCTGCTCTGTTTCCAGTCTGGTTCCTAAGCTAAGTTGGCTGCTAGCTGTAGCTTCATATTTACCCTACACACAAGAGGGGCATTCATATTCTTATCTAACTCTAGCAAGAAAGCAAATCATGCCAAAGAGCCTTTCCCAAAACAATATCTTTTATGAGTCTTGAGTCATTTCGGAAGAACACAAGTTGAAAGAAGAAGTTAATTTGCACTGTTAGTTTAATTAAGATTGTTTCATGTTCATAACTTCACTGTGTTGTTCAGAGACTGGAACCAATAAGCATTTAAAAATGTATCTGAACATCTAATCTTTATGAGAACTTGGCTGTGCTTGGATCTAAATGAGTCTACTGTGAGGCAGTAGGTGTGTATGATTGCCTGGGTGAAAACAGCAGCAGTGAATCATAAAATAATCAGCCAAACAACTCACACAGATACACTCGTATAACTATTGCCTTCCGCTTTCACAACTCTTATGCTGCCGATTTAACACATTTGAGGTTTTGATGTGATACAAAAGTAGTATTTCCCCCAGATGTGAATTATACGGTCTAATAACTCGCAGGATGAGCTCTGACAGTGTGTTCATTCACGGTTGTTTTTGCACCTCAATCGCGTCCTACCTCGACAGCTGAAACTGAGGAGGTGAGGATTCCTTAAAGAGAATGATGAAACGAGTGATGAGGTTTTAATCAGAATCTCTTTATGCTGACACACCATGGGAATTCTTCACCTCATCAGCCCTCTGTACCCCCTACCCCCACACCCTGGACGATGGGCAACCTCCCAGCATGCCTTGCTGCGTGGCCTTTTCAATAATGTAGCAGGGGAGAGAAGGGAAACTAAATGAGAGGGGAAACGATTTCCCAGCGCTGTAGGAGCCCCCTCTGTGACATTTACCTCTTGCATGCTCCTCAATGTGTGTGTGTGTGTTGGATGGCCCTCTGCCAGACTAATGATACCCCCCTCTGGCACACACTCAAGGCTCCAAAACCCTCCTGCTAGAGATGACTCACATGTCCATACTGAAGGGAGAGAAAAGTGGGTATAATGGCAAAGGGATTGTAAAGCGTTTGAAAGAGAGATGGTCGTATAGTTCAATATGTGTCCAGCTGAGGAACAATCGAAGGGCAAGATATATAGGAAAATGTTCACGATTGGAGGCGACAGAAAGTAGCAGGAGCGACCATCGGCTACACCTGTTACCATTCCGTACTTCATTAAGCACGCCCCCCTTCGTGTGCAGCACTGGGTGTTATCCACGGGAAGCCCCCTACCCCCCACCTGGGCACATGGCATCTATCATTACCCCCATGCTCCAGCTCAGAGCCTGCATAATGTCACACAGCTGGAGCGAGAGGCTCTGGAGATGGATGAAAAAGAAAAAAACCCTTGCGAGCGTCATTAAAAAGGAAAGACCATACTTCTGCTACCCACAATATAGTTGTACAAGGGATTCATTGTAGCGCTGCATGAAACGGACCTCAACCAAAGATACAATTAATATGTGAAACATAATGGGTGATGAATTCATCTCACCTCAAGGTCCCGTTATTGGCTGAATCATTTCACACAATCGTTGTTATCAGATCAGGTTTAGGAGAAGATATAGAAATATAAAATAGACGTTCTGTCATTTCTCACAAGCTTTTAAGCCTCAAATCTAAACAGCTCAAAGACATTTTTTCTTTATACCAACATGACAGTAAAGACCATGTGATGTTCAAAAACTCCAAACTTGTTACTAAATAACCAATATTTTGAATGCACATTTACAAATATGCAAAGGATGTGTATGCATATCAGATTTGTTGTTTTAAAGAAGAATTTTCAAACAGTTATAAATCATTCATATATCTTACATGTTTTTTCCAACTCGTATCCAAACATAGATTTACCTTCTTAGGCTGAGAAACAAGCTGTTGTTGTCCAATCAATCATAAAGAGACACTGTCAAGCCTTAAAGACGACTCGTGTCATGGAGCTAAAAATAGGTCGCAGCTCGGTGCCAGCAACTGTTTACACAGAGAAGAGATGGCTGCTCGTGTGAATCACCTACCTGTCTGAGGAGATAAACTACGAAATGAAGTGAGTTTGTGAAGACGCTGCAGAGAAGAATGCTTATGAGAAAAATAAAAATCTACAAACAAATAAGCTTAGAAAAGTTGTAGGAATACAAGCTATCATTAAGAGTGTGTTAAAGTATCAGCTACAGCTTAGGTAACTTCAAGAAAAGTAATACCTTTCGAATTTAATAATGTATTCTAATAGCATTAAATTCTGAATCAAGTAGTACAGATACATCTTCCTGCTCGTATCCAGAGATTAATTGCATTAAAACACATGATATGAGGTAAATTGCAATGCCTATCACTAATATGCTAATAAGTGTCACGTGTCACATACAATGCTTAGAAATATAACCAGCACCACTTAACCCAGACGGGGGTTTGGTCACAAGACAAAAATTAGACAATTGCCAATTGAGGTAAGCAGACAAATATCATTTTCTGTACTAATTTGAGGTATACAAAAAGCTTTGTTGCTTTTTAACTGTATGACATTAAGTCTTCAGACCTCTAAATGCACTCTGTGAACTTACTCATGCCTCAAAAATAATCGACACAAATCTGGAAGGGAGCACATACACTCACAGTACGATGCTGACCTCTAGTGGATAAACAGAATACTGCCACCTTCACACTTGGCAGGCCCAGATGCTCTTGACAACAATCATACAGTGTGATTTCTACTTTCTCATCTATTCTAGTGATCCCTGGCTGGGGACGGCGGCCTGGCGCAGCAGCAGCTCCCTGGCCAGGTCCGGCCTGCCGCTCTTGGCGAGACAGTGGGCGAGCTGAGAGGCTTTGGGATGGTGGGCGGCAGCAGGAAGCCCCCTCCTCCACATGGCCAGGAGGTGGAAGGCCTGGGTGGAGAGGCTGTCCCCGGCCCGCAGCTTCACCAGCTGAGCGGCGCTTCGACGGAGACGCAGGGAGACCACCAGCAGAGAGACCTCCTCCTCTGAAAGCTCCCCCGACAGCCAGAGGAGGAGAGAGTCTGACAGGGAGTCTGGGGTGGGGGGGGATGAAAGATGGTAGCAGATTTTTTAGGGAAATTATAATAGGAACAGGAAATCAGTATTTTGTTGTTAAGGGCACAGACATATGGTGGAGATCATATTTAATCAACCCACTGAACAAAGATATCAATACAACAGCTTTGACAATTCTAAATTGTTATTGGGTAGAAGTATAAATTGGGGTAAAGGGAAAAAACTCAAGTAAAGTACACCAAAACCTTTCACCCACCTGTGTCCTCGCGTAACCTCACCCTGGCTGTGATTGGCCGATTAATGGTTCTCACTTTCTGCGATGCAACAGAATAAAATGTTAGCATATCTTTTATTTTGAACGTCTTAAACAGCTTCTCTAATGTATGATTCCTTGGGAATGTTTCCGCACCTTGGGTAAAGTCAGAGACAGCTTACAGACGGGGTCTCCAAGGAGCTTTGTGTCCATGGCGACCGGTTTATCACCTCGCCACTCCAGCTGAACTCTGGCGACCTTGTAGAACATTGCTGTGCCCTTGTAGTGGGGGGAGCTGTAGTTCCCAAACGGGTCCACTTCTGTAAGACGCACCATGAGGTGATTCTTCTGCTGACTGTGGAAGGTGATTCGCTCGTTTGGGACATCATGTCCTTCGTTTTGAGTTCCTTTTGTAAAACAAGAACACACAAAATCTTCAACATTCGGAACAAAAATTCTTATGTGGTCTTCAAGTGATAACATTAAAACAAACATACATGAGTGGTGATTTCATGCATTCTGCTGGCTGCCTGTGCAAACAAAAATGCATTCACTTAAGATATTCAGATAGAGAAGGGACATGGAGGGAAAAATGTAACTTTTTACAAAAAAAACAACAAAGTATGTTCTTCCGTAGCTCGGTAAGAAAAGGTTCTTAATTTATAATATAAATAAAATGTAATTAATGAAATTTCAAAAGCTAACTACATTTGAAACCGAAAAGGATCTACTGCTGTGTGCTTGAGCTAAATGCCAGCAATGCTGATATACTGTCATTAAGAGTTGATGAGATATTGAAGTCCTGATTTATTAAAAAAGATTCTATGATTTTGACCCAATGATGGTGCTATAGGAAAAGCCCAACATGTCCAAAGGTATAAGGATTAATAAATGCCTCTACCAATGGTATTATCCATCCACCAGCACATTATCACCATTAATAAAATACAATCCTTAAAAAGGTCTTCAGACTAACAACAATCAAGAGAAAGTTGAGAAAGTGACTGTGGTCCTATAAGAATTTATTTGTGCATTTCTTTTTAATATATTGCACATTCTTTTCTTACAACTTGAGAGCCTTTCTCATTAGTGTGCATGCATCTTTTCATCATGTCTCTAGTTTATCCTCACACCCTACCTGAGGAGGTTATGTTGCCGCTGAAACGCAGGAGGAGCTGGTCTCCCTCACACATGGAGATCTCCTCCGATGTCTCCGGCAGCCCGCTGTATCCCTGGGCTCGCAGTTTGGACGTCTCCCAGCTGAGGTCTCTGTTGGGGAGGACAGCCACCAGGAGGTCGTGCGGCTCATCCTGTCTCCGCTGGAGGACGACGGTGACCGCATGGCAGCAGACCGACTCCTCCAGCTCCTCTGCCAGGGAGGAGAGCTGGAGAGGCTGCAGGGGAGACAGGAGACGCACCACCAGCAGTCTGAGGCAGGGGGAGGTAAGGCGTTAAGCTCAGAGGAGATATGAGATTATTGCTAATACAGACTTAATATACTTAAAATAGAATAACACATTCTTATTACATACTGTAGAAGTCTGTTGAAGATAAGAAAGAGGAGAGCAATAATGAGAATCTATCCGTAGTATAGGAGCAGTTCACAGTATATCACTAGTAGAATATTCGTAATTGCATTTTTCTAAACTGGACTGAAAAACACTAAATATTTTTACTGTTAAATCTTTAAAAATGGCAGCATTTAACTTTTGTTTTGAACTTTACTGTTTTTTATATTTACTTTATTAACCATGCTGTGAATTATGGCCTGGTAATCTAATGTAATGGTTAACACAGCATTACCTAATGACGGTTATCCAAAAGTGTTTCACAATCATTTTTTAAAACTAAGATAAATCCAAAAATAAATTCACATCATTTCATAGAAACTGAAGAAACACAACTAAATACCTTCCAATTCTTGTTGTTTATGAATTATTGAAAGATAACTTACATTTTCACCATGTTCTTATCTTCTGATAGAAAAGTGAAAGCCTGGTATTTAAAATATTTAACCCCCCTTTTATCCATACTGACTTTCTGACTTAAACCCTTTCTGTGAAGCAAAGCTTTTCTAAGTCATGTTAGTTGTATTGTTCTCCATTTCACTTTGTGTCATGCTGCACCTACACTGTGTGTAAATGAGAAGCGTAAAACCCTGAAGAAGTGGAACAGAAGTTGCTTGAGTGGTGAGTTCTTCTTCTTGTCTCTTTGCCCTTATTTGGATCAGGCTGGAGCAGGCGGAGTTAACTCTGACGTCACTGTCGAGACGGCAGTGGCCGATACCGCCTACTTTAGGCTTCTCAGCAACTCTGCAGAATCCTATGGCTGACCTCACGGAACTTATGTGAACCCTTTGGAACTACCTGGATTTCTGCATAAATTGGTCATAAAATGTGTTCTGATCTTCATCTAAGTCACAACAATAGACAAACACAGTCTGCTTAAGCTAAAACCACACAAACAGTTATATGTTTTTATGTTTTTATTGAACACACCATGTAAACATTCACAGTGCAGGGTGGAACCCTTGGATTTAATAACTGGTTGACCCTCCTTTGGCAGCAATAACCTCAACCAAACGTTTCCTATAGTTGCATATCAGACCTGCACAACGGTCAGGAGGAATTTTGGACCATTCCTCTTTACAAAACTGTTTCAGTTCAGCAATATTCTTGGGATGTCTGGTGTGAATCGCTCTCTTGAGGTCATGCCACAGCATCTCAATTGGGTTGAGGTCAGGACTCTGACTGGGCCACTCCAGAAGGCGTATTTTCTTCTGTTGAAGCCATTCTGTTGTTGATTTACTTCTGTGCTTTGGGTCGTTGTCCTGTTGCATCACCCATCTTCTGTTGAGCTTCAATTGGTGGACAGATGGCCTTAAGTTCTCCAGCAAAATGTCTTGATAAACTTGAGAATTCATTTTTCCGTCGATGATGGCAATCTGTCCAGGCCCTGAGGCAGCAAAGCAGCCCCAAACCATGATGCTCCCTCCACCATACTTCACAGTTGGGATGAGGTTTTGATGTTGGTTTGCTGTGCCTTTTTTTCTCCACACATAGCGTTGTGTGTTCCTTCCAAACAACTCAACTTTGGTTTCATCTGTCCACAGAATATTTTGCCAGTATTGCTGTGGAACATCCATGTGCTCTTTTGCAAACTTCAAACGTGCAGCAATGTTTTTTCTGGACAGCCGTGGCTTCCTCCATTTTATGACCAACTTATGCAGAAATCCAGGTAATTCCAAAGGGTTCACGTACTTTTTCTTGCAACTGTATGTAGATGTTCTGCTTTCATGGTATGTGAAATACTGCTTTTGTATTACTGGATACGTCTAGTTTGTTTAGTACTTCTCTGTTATTGTATGTATGTGTTAATAGCTTCAAGCTAAATCTGGCCCCTATCTCTCTCCACTAAACATAGCTATACAAATATACATTTTGAATAAAATCACATAGCTGTAACCTCAAATATCTTACATGTATTAAACAAAATGCATCTGAAACCATTCTAAAATGTTACTGTTATCTTTGTCTAAACATGTTTACTATAGATTTGTTCCTGTGGAGTCTCGCATCAAACCTCTTCATGTTAAAGTGTCCAACAGAGCTAATTGTCCACAAGTAAGGATTTTTCACAGGACTTCAAACATAAACAATAACATATGTAAATCAACCCTCCTTAACTGTTTGTCTTTCTGTGGTCAGGGACAATGTTTGCTACTTCCTCTATGTGGTCGGGGGCCTCCTGATGACGGTCACTGGTGGGAGTGTGTATGTGGATGTGACGTCGGCCCAGAACCCTGCCTACCTCCAGCGGCTGTCAAACACACTCCTGGGGCTCATGGGCCTTCGACACAAAACAAATGTTGTAAGAAACCTAGAACTTTAACTGTTCTTACTGTAATGTTTTGAGGAAAACATCAAATCATGCACCATGTGTGTCATGATTCTCATGCCACGTTTCTATGTCTAGGTTTGGGTCTTTTGCTGTTCTCCCTGTCATGTTTTCCTCTGGGTTATTGTCTGGTCCTTTTCCCTGTGTTTTCCTCCTGGTCGTTAGTTTCCCTGGGTTGTCTAATTGTCTGATTGTGTTCACCTGT